ACTTTTTTTCCAATTACTTAAAGCAACAAAAAGATTTGTTTCTAAGTTTGTTGTAGGATAATTTTATAAGCAATATGTCTTTTCACAGTAAAATTGTGCCTATTTTATGTATTTTTAACATCGGTAATTACGGTAACAAAAATTGATGTTATTTTTTGCTTATTCAATATAGACTGTATATACAACATACTTACTTTTGAACCATTTGGTAAAGTCGTTTTCTATTTTTACCAAGAACACTTGGTTCACTTGACAATGCAAATATCCTATCAGCAATAGCCCCATAATCAAACTGAAAATTAATCAGATGTGTTAGAAGTAAAACTTAAATCAATGTTCCAAAATGTCTTCAATCATCTCGTTCAGGATATTATAGTAGTAATTTTATATTTCATAAAAAGAGACTACATGTATGGAATGATTTCCTGAAATGTGATCATGAACTAATTTTCTGGAATGCGTATATGAACTGTTCCAAGAAATGAGATTATGGATTTTTTTTTAAATGGGACTATGAACAGATTTCTTTTCAATGTTACATGTACCTTTAATTTTGCTTTTCTAGTTTTTTCCTTCGAACTGTCTTGTTTCTCCTCATCTTGTTCCATCTGTTCCTCATCAGCATCATCATCATCTTCATTATTATCAGCTTTCATCTCACCTCTATCTTCCTTTTCTGCCATTGTGATGTCTGACTGCCGGAGGATTCCATTCCTGAATATTTCATTGAGAATCACTCGGAGTAAGGCTGCTCTGTGGAAAATAAGAATATTCTTCTGTCAGCAGTCAACCAATCAAAATTCTTGGGGTGAAGTCATTAAGAAAGTGAAAACATGTCATTCATAAAATATACAATGGCATAGGGGGTTGGAGTGGCTGAGTCAGTCAAAGGTCAACAAATCAAAAACCAAATCATACCGGCCGAGCATACAAATAAATATAAGCTACAGGAAATAAATCTTTTCACTGAAGGGGTGATTCAGTGAAAATAAAATCCAGTGAGTATACCTTTTTCCCATATTTCACATTGAACTCATCAAAAAACAGACCCAAACAGTCTATTCTGCGAAAAATTAATTCCAGCTAATATAGTATTTATAGTATTATTCATTTTTTTCTATATGCCATTTTTCAACTAATAAATTCCAGTCACATCTGGAAATTACATGTCAAGTCCTTGTTTTAAATATACATTGTAATAGCATCCTATTCAAAGCCATTTGGACAGAACTAATGCAGGAAATAGAGTGTGATTTTTTGGGACAGAGCTGACATGTATTCTAGTAATAGGACCAGTAAGAAAGAATCAAACCATGCACAACTTAACTACAAACTTACTTTGATGTTTTTGCCGCAAGAACGCAGAATGGATCAAGGAATTTTAAAGTTTCTTCTGGGGATAACTAGTAAAAAAAATATACATACATTTACATAAAAGATATATCAGTCAGCATCCCATTTACTTATGTGGAACCCAATCAATATTGTAGTAGATATCAGATAAACCCCCTACCCACCAATGAATGCCTTCTAAGCCGATATGGTGCACTACTGATGTACAAAGATTTGCTGAGACACAAGTCATTATGTTAATTCACCTACATGTCATTGATGCAACAGAAACTTTTGATACAGTGGTCTTGAAAAACCTTCACAATTACTGTAAAATCTGTATTAGAAGCCGCAGCATCTATTAAAATGATACAATGCAACAGAATAGGATGCGGTTTCTATTAAAGCACCTACACATACAATGTATGAGAAACAATTAATTTTGGGTTCTCAATTGTTTAAAAAGAATAGGTGCGACTTATATCAGGGATGCAGCTTCTAATACAGATTTTACGGTAGTAGTTATGGAATTTTTAATTTGGTAAATCAAATTCATAAATAAAATAAGTGTAAAAACTAAATCTGGGGATAAACATTTTTGTTTGTACCTTAAGTCACTTATAGGGTTGCATACAATTTAATTTTTTTTTTGAAGACCAATTTTTTTGGATTTTGATGGAGTGCACTGCTACCCAACATACTGCACACAGTAAACACACAAAGTAATCAAAATCAAAGGTTTACAAGACAAGGGTCTGCAACTGGTGTGACATGAGATGAAGATCTCATTCAAAGTCGTGTGATTTGTGAGATGATTACAACATCAGAAGCATTTCTAAAAAATACTAAAATTCAAATGAGTTTGTGAGAGAAATAATAGTGTTTAACTCAGACTGAATCAGTGAATAGGGCAGACAAAATGGCCACCAAGAGTTACTAGACAAGTTTTTGCAGCCTGTCATTGTGTGCACTGTTCTATTGACTTCTGTTATAAAACATGCGGATGCAATACAGGTGAGAATACCCAACTATTTTGGGGAAGAAAAATAATCATGTGGCTTTTTCAACAAGATCTAGGTGACATCTAAGGTCTGAAGAAATCTTACCTGGTTACCTCCTACTTTACATAATTCAACCAAATAAATATCAGCCATGTGGAATCGTAAACCATCAGGGACTGTAACGTCTGGGTCAGAGTCAAAACAGTCGTCTTCATTACATCAACAAATTCATCAATAACTCTACAAAACAATATACTTGTATTATTACATATGTACTGCAGTTTATTTTGATTCGTCCCTGAAATCAAGATCGGTATTTCCACACCCCATATGCAAATTAGGTCTGAGAGCAAACAAAGTAGTCTTTCAGGGGTACCGTTTTTTTAAAACACAGCAGAAATAAACAATATTTAGAAGTACAATATTTTTCCCTTGGGGTACATGAATATACTTGCCGAGTGAAATAAAATTTGAACAACACTAATGGTACTTTTAGGCAGTCAATTATTTTGACTAAAACTAATTTGCATATCACCCATGCAATAATGTTTTCACTATTTTTTCGGTCGATATGCAAATGAACATGGTACTTTCATTGGCAACCGAACTATTTTTATTATGTGAACAAATTTTCATCTGCCAATTTTATCGGGTTCAAAACGTTCAGCAACATTTTTGGCATATTAAGTGTACATCACATGGAATACTATGATTGGGAGAACTTAATGTATGTTGACCACCTAGAAACTGAGCTTTATAAACCCTGAAAGATCCACCCGCAGTAAAATCAGCGATTGCTATGGAGCCGCAACCATCAACGTCAAGGTACCAGGAGGTTTCAGGTGGAGACGTTGCAGCGTTACTCAGTTTCAAATAAAGATTACGAACGCCAAACGAGCAAAATTTTTAAACAGTAAACAAGACTTATTCAATCCATGACCAGCAAACAATATCACACACAAAGTTGTAGCGTGCAGCTCAGCGACAACCGCTGTCGACGAAAGTCATTCTATCTGTGGAGTACCACAGTTGCTCCGCATGTTTGCCAATGCACAATTCTTTGGAGGAACTTTTAACTTCAACATAAACTGTGTATCACAGTCATCCAGTTCAAGTTCTGTCGTGGCCCCAACTAAACGTCCACGAGTTATTCATTCAATCAGTGACTCAGATTAGACGTCTGATTATTTCATTTTCACCCTAATAGTGACACGTGTTCTACCCTGACACACGTTGCTAGGGCGTAACACTATCTTAGAACATATTAATGGGCAATGGGGTTCCCGACCTAAATTCCATCCCGGTTTGTTGTACGTTATTTCTTAAATATGAAAT